GGGCAGCTGTGGGCAGAATGCAATCAATTGGCAGGCCAGATTTGGCTGTGGGCCATATTTTGCCCACTCCTGAGCCTAACTAAGCAGATAAGCACAGGCTCAGGCATGTTCCTGCCTGGATGATCCCGTTCCCACTGCCAGGTGCCCTGAGGACCACTGAGGGGGCAGCTGAGGGCTGGATACAATTAAATGGCAGGCCAGATCTGATCTGCAGGCCATATTTTTCCCACCCCTGAGTTAAACTGAGCAGATAAATGCAGGCTCAGGCTTGTCCCTCTGTAAGGAAGTAAGCACTATGGTCTATGAAATTGTTTTTAAATTGGGTGCCAGTCAATTCACAAAAGTTATGGAGGGGTGTTTCAAGTCCAGGGAGAAGCATTCTGAGTCCAAAAGGTTGAGAACCACTGAGTTACACTCACACTTCACTTCACACAGTTTAAGCCACATCCTATTTCACTTAGTAGGTACTTATATGAGACACTAAGTGCTCAGTAGACTAATTCTACTGCTCATTAATTTGTCACAGCAAAAGTCATGCTATTATGCGAATGCACAGTAGAATTAGTCTACTGCACATGAGCGTCGCTAAAAAGGTGTGTACCGGTGCTACTGTGCAGTACTGCCAGTTATTGCAGATTTATTTAGTAGCTATTACAGGTACTCAACTTAATGCACAGTACCTATGTTGCATTAATACATGTGTAGATATGTGCATTGAAGCCTATTAATTTCTTATCAAGTCTATAAGTATATAAGGGGTGTGCATCAGGATCTGGGGGAATACCTGCTCACCAGAGCACCCCATGGGATGACAAGGTCCAAAGGTCACAAACTCCTCCAAGACCGTTTTAGGCTGGACATAAGGCAAAACTTCTTTACTGTCTGAGCCACCAAGGCCTAGAATAGACTGCCCCCAGAGTGGTACAAGCACCTACTGTAGACACTTGTAAGAAACTTTTGAATGTTTATCTTGCTGGGATCCTATGACCCTAGCTGATTTCCTGCCCCTGGGGCAGCAGGCTGGACTCGATGATCTTCTGAGGTCCCTTCCAGCCCTAATGTCTATTAAATCTATGAAGTCACCAAAAAACAGGTACCACAGAAGGTGGATGGGTCCTCCTCAGGCTGGTTGCTTTTTTAGAACTAACCTTAAAGGGAAAATGATGGCATGTTACAAAAGTAGTCACATTAATGTTTTTTTCAGAGGCTTAAACAAGTATAAAATTATACTTGTGTCTAGGTCCACTGACACACCTAAGAGGTGGAATAGGATCTGGCTGTTTGTCTCCAGTGAGGATGCTCAGGGCATGCAAAATTAAATATGCAAGCAAAACTTTTCAGGATAAGGGCCTGGTATGGTTTCCATATTATTATGGAGAGGAAAAAATGGGGAAAGTAATGTGCTCGTGATTTACTAAAAAGCAAAAGAACCCATCAACACCCAAATAAATCTGGTCCCAGTCCTGTAAGCAATTATGCAGGTAACAAGAGTCCTGAAGAAAATGAGGCTACAGAAGAGCACAGTTACCCAGGCATAGGATAAGGTCCCTGGTACTATGACATCTATGGAACTTGATTTAATGGGAGCTATTTCATTTACTTCCAGGATCGGACCTCAAAAGAATAACTAATATCCTGGTATATTATTCTACAATTGTTAATATTATTGTTCACATAACCTTATACAGGATGCCTCCATTTTTCAGACTTGCTGCATTATACACAGTATCCAGATATAGAATGCTTGCTACACACTACATTATCATCACAGCCCATGCTATGTTAAGGCTAGATAAACATAACTGTCATTTCTTGTCTAAAAAAAAATCCAGCAATCTATGACTCATCAGCAAACTCGTTGTATGAGATAAATGGTTGTGGGAAAGTATTTCTTTTAATATTATGTTTAATAACATGAAGAAATTTATTCCGCTTTACCTAATGGAAGAATACTAACTCTGGGAGTTCTTTGATCAAAATATCACAGTGTTTGGAACTGGATCAAAGATAGAGATTTGGAAAAAGTCTGCACATCACCATCCAAGACAAAATAAATCCAAGTCATTTTATACAAGAATGAGGACAAACCCTCAACATTTGGGGACAAAAACATAGGTGGTGTCATGCATCATGAGCTCTCTCACATGCCAAGGTCAGCCTGTCCCCCTGAACTGCCAACCTCAGACAAGCTCCTCTAATATGAGAAGTGATCGCCTTTTCTGCTGCAGCTCAAGGCTTAAAAAAAAAGGTTAATTCAGTTTTCAAATAATCTTTTGTAAAGAGTCATTGCAAAGGGGGAGGGGGAAGAATACATCTGACTGAGCAAAAAAACCTGGCTATTCATGCCCAAGACCATTTTATGCTGTGAAGTGCTCTGGAGTATGGGAGACGGATGGCTCCCAGGATTGACCTAACGAGAAAATGCTGACTCTGGGAGTTCTTTGATCAAAATGTTACAGTGTTTGAATCTGGATCAAAGGCAGAGATTTGGAAAAATGCTGTCTGTGGGCCAGCTGAGGTCCAGAATGTCCTTTAGGTTTTGTTAAGGCTGATGGAATGATTCTCATTATAAGTTGGTAAATGCACTATGAGGTCACTCAAGTGAGGAGACAGAGAGGTTTTTTTAATCTAAAGGAATAGTGGAGAGACAGCAAAAGTGCAGGAGACTCATAACTGCGAGCCCATTCTAGTTCCCATTAAAACTTGTGGAGCGATAGCCATTAACTTCTACCAGAGCTGGATCAGGCTCTACACAAGGGGAAAAGCTCCTGCAAGAATTCAGTTATTTGTCATGCCTTCTCTCCCATGTTACTGCCATTATTATTAAACTTTTATTGCCTCCTTCAACCCTGCTGGGCAGCAGACCTTGGGGTTTGTCTCATGTTTCTGCCACAGGCTTCTGTAAGTGACCTATTCTTTTGAGGTGGGGGAACAGATGAACTACAGCACAGCATGCAAGGAACATTCCCATGTAGATGCTAATGAGAAAAAAAAAACACTTTAGATTCTTCAACAAGAGAAATGGTCCCCTTGCTAATTACATGGGCAGCAAGTTTAAATAAGGGAGTGCTTCAGAGGCCTACATCATCTGAATGGACACTATAGGTTGATGCATAATCATGAGAGAAAGTGATTGCAGAAAGATTGCATTAGGCTCTGGAATGTGAACAGCTTTGTTTGTTGCTTAAAACTTAAAAAGAAATCCTGCGGCAAACCCAGGGGGAATGGATCCTGCTGTTCCTAGGTAAACTGACTTTGCTACCTAGAAATATTCAGGTACTTTCAGTCCTGCAACCTTGATCTCACAACTAGAAAGAAGTCAAGGTGGTGCATATACGGCTCAGGGTTGCTTTTAACAACTATCGGTTCAGCTTTGAAGCCCAGTCGGGAAAATGAAGAGAATGTGAAACTTACTTGTGTACATGAGACATTTACTGTGAAGTAGACTAATTAGTAGGGCTGTGCGAATCTTCAGTCCCTGATTTGATGTGGCGGAGATTCAGCCCAATTCAGTAGCCAAATCTCCAAATCCAAATCAAATTAGAGGACCCTTAATACCTCAGAATTGAATAGGAACCCTCTGAATCAGGACCAGAAACACATAAAAAAAAATGGCAGAAGAGTCAGTGGAGACTGCATTCTCCTTAGTAAAATCCAGTTCTCTTACCTACAGAGATAATGCCATGTTTCCTTTTTTTCCCCTCTCTTTCAATTTTATCTAGTATTTCCATTTGCTGTCATGTTTTATTTTAGCTTGTACACATTGATGGAAAGACATCAGGTACCTTCTTCTCATCTTTTAGCTCTCCTGGACAATCTCAGTACTTTCTGTGCATGAATGTAGCATGAAATTTGTGGTGAGTTGTAAAGACCTGACCCAGCAGCTGGAAAGAAAAGGTCTTCCTCAGAAAAGACTCTAGGTGCATTCTCTCAATGCAAGCGGTGTCAGGGAACTTTTCCTGGGATCAATCTGTATGTTACCTGCCCCCCTTTTCCTCAAGTGTACATCGTGGGTGTGTCTACACATGGTCATTTAATGTGTATTAGCGTAATTTAAGCTGTATTAGGTGTTTGTGTCTACATGTGCACACCCTTAACACAGATTAAAAATGGTGATTTTAGGTTATGTGAGCCTAAATTTGATACCCGCACAAACCAAGTATCAAATTTAAGGGGCATTACTTAATGTGGATTAACACATGTGTAGATGCATTAATGCACATTAATGCAAGGACTTTAGTCCTGAGTCTGCCCAGCCACTAGGGGGCCAGCTGGAGCCCAGCTTCCTGGCTGGCCACCTCTTCTCCTCCATGTCTGGGCTCTGGCAGCCCCTAGCTGCTCTCTGGCAGACCCGAGCTGCAGGCTATAAATGCCTCCAGCCATTTTGTGCCTTGGGGCACACTGCAAAGGGAGCCTAAGGGAGCCAGTCTGCCTGCAGCAGTCCATCAGCCCTGTGTGTCCCTCTGGACAGGACCCAGGAAGCTTCTACCCATCCTGTCCCCTAGCTAGAACTGCTCCGTGGCAACAGGTGAGTGTTACAAAGGGCTGCAGCCTGCCCAGCCCTGAAATTTCCCCCAGGGCTCCTGGCCCTGCTGCCATAGGGAGCACCTGCTCCCTGTTGCTCCTCATCGCTAGCTCTCTCTCTTTTCAGGCACTGTGGTGAAGCACCTCTGCCATGTGGCTCCCTGTGTCTGGCTGTGCTCCTGTCTTGCGTGCTGCTTCCAGCCCTTCAGGGCTGACATCACAGGAACAGTTACACAGGGGCCCCAAGAGCCAGGACTATGTCAAGCACATCGTCCCCATCCAGCCCAGGCTCTGCCCCTGTGCTCACACCCATCCCAAGTGCCTGGGCCCCCAACTGGACCTGCAAGTAGGTGCACGATTTTGTGGCACTCTGGCATGGGGCTGCTGTCCAGAGACAGTTTGCATGGGGCGGGTGCAGGAATGCCCATATTTATGAGAACTTTTCAGCAGGGATGCTTGCACGAGGCCACTCCTAGATGGCGCAGCAGTGCTGCATGAAGGCCAAGGCTTTGCGGGTACAGTGGGTGGTAATGACTGACTTCAATGGTTGGTTTGGTCATGCCCATAAGACCATGCCCTTAATGTAGGAGATGACCTGCAGTTTGGCACCACAGGAGACAGGCTGCACACCTGCAAGTGCCACCAGCAGAGGTGGCCTGGCCATGCCCACATCTCACCCTGACACCTTTGGTGATGTGTCACCAGAGGAGGGGCCCTCAGGTATTCAGGACCCTGCCCCACCCACCTCCCAGCTGCTGCACCCACTGGTAGCTCAGGGAACCCTGCAGCCCAGCCCCACAGCCACACCACCTCCAGCTGCCAGCTTCTCCCATGGGGGGCAGGGTGGGGGGTCCTGGCTGAGTGCCAGCCTGCCAGTCACCACGGGCCATGGACACCAGGCAGAACCAAATGCCATTGCTAACATGGAGCCCTGTGCCAAGCCACCAGCCTCACCAGACCCATAGTAAGTCCCACACTAGGGGAGGATCCTCCCAGTCCCCAGCCCTGCCCCTGCCCCTGGCCCCTGGCCCCACTCCCTGCCCAGCCTGTCCTCACTCCCCTGACCCCAGGTCCACCTCCCCACAGCATGCAGGCACATGGAACACTGTTCATAACTTTATTGAGCTGCCTATGTTCCCACAGCTGGGTGGGCACAGGCCTCTCTCATGCCTAGGAAGGTGTAGATACCTGCAGCAATGTCCTCCTCAGCAGTGGGGGGCAGAGATGTGTAGTGCTGCGATAGATAGCCCTCCAGGTGGTGGCAGAGTTTGTGGGAGAGCCCAGGCTTTCGCCTTGTGCTGCTATAGCACAGGGTCCTGAGTCAGGAGTGCAGGTATGCCTGGGGCATCAGCAGGATCAACAGGAGGAGGGTGTAGTGGCTTGGGAAGCCCTCCACCTGCACAAACAGCTCAATATACACCACCCAGGGCACAAGCAGCAGGGTTATGCTCGGGGCACAGTGATAGCATGGTGGGAGGCCAGCCATAGGGTGCCTCACTGGAGAGACCCACTGTGGAGAGGGCAGGGGTGCAGACAGCCACGCACCCCAGTTGTCCAGGAGCCCGGTGTACCCCAATCCCTGACATCGTGGGCTGAGCAGCAGCATGGCAGAACGTTTGGCCTGAAGGGAAATGGTTGGCCTGCAGAATGGTTGACCAGCAGGTACTGCCAGCAGCCTGACCTCTCCCACCCTGGGAAGGCAGAAGGGAAGGCAGGCTTCCTGCAGCCAGCACCCAGCAGCCCATTGGCCCCAGGGGAGCAAGCTCAGCCTGCAGTTGCCTGGTCCAGGGCCTGCCCAGCCAATTTACCATGGTCCCTGGACACCTGAGCACAGCCGACTTTCAATCAGAAGCTGGGCAGTGCATGGCCGCCGAAGCAGAGCATCTTATCTTTGCAATGTTGCAAACTCTCACAAAGGGCTTCTGTCTCTTACGTCTGCAGGGTGAGGGAGAACATCTGGAGGTGGGGGAGAGGCTGCAGAGCCCTGCAAAGAGTGCTGCCTCAGGGTTGATGCCACCCACTGCTGGAGCCTCCTGGATGTCCTGGCTGCACCAGCAGCATACTAGGGACTGGACCTTCCTGCTGCAGTGGCTGGTGGCAGTCATGAAGTACTGGGCAACATGGGAGCAGCAGAAGGTGTGGAAGGTACCAGAGCTGGCCTGGCAGGAGGACAACATTGCTCAGGAGACCACACAGGAGGAAGCACAGGACTGGGCTAGCTGGAGACCCTGAAGCTACTCCAGCAGCAGCTGGCCATCCCCCTGTCCAGTGCCCCTCCTCCCCCCATGTCTGGCCTCTGGTCCCAGCCCCACAGGAGATGGGCTTCCACTGCCTCCCATACACAGGGCCCCGGCATTCTTTGTGGCCCCCAGATCCAGGGGGGAACTGCCCACAGCCAGGGTGCTGGCTGCATGTTACCAGGCTCTGCATCCTGGGTACCCTCACCCCACAGCCCCCACTCAGGCATAGACTCAGTCTCTTGTACAAAGTTTTCAGTTTGGGAGGAGGTTTTTTTTTTTTTATTGTTGGTGGGTGAGGAGGGTGGTGGAGGGGCTGTGTGTGTTGGGGAGGAAGGGGAGAGGGGTCTCTGTTGGTTGAGGAGGATGGATGGGGTGGAGGATGTGAAGGGAATAAAAGTTTTCATTGCAAGCATGTGTGTGTCCTGTGAGTGGTGCTGGGGAGGCAGAGAGTAGAGGATGTGTGGGTGGTAGGGCAGGTAGGTGTCAGTAGGGGCAGGGGGAACACCTCCATGTCCTGACACTCCAAGTGGGACTGGTACCACAAGTCTTCAGAGGTGGCCTGCGTCATCCAGAATGTGTCAACCCACTGGTCATCATCCCATTCCTGCAGCACGACATGCTGCCACAAGTAGCAGCCCCAGAGGTGGTGAGGCTGGTGGGACAGGAGGACAATAGTCCTAGTGGTGGTGTCCTGGAGCCTGTGGTCACCATACCTATCAGCATCAGCTGCACAATGATAGGGGCCCAGGAGGCCATGTTGTAGTTATCCAGCAGGCAGGTGGAGTGCATGGGAGAGTTTGGTAGTGCCAGGTGGCTGAGCATCAGGCACATGGAATAGCAGTGTGTGAGCAGGACAGCTGTGGCAGCCCTGAGGAGTGGGGGATGTCCCTGTGTGCCACGGCCAAAAGTTGGGCCAGAAAGGGCTGGGAAGCACAGCTGCAGCAGGCACAGAGCAGTCATGTGCTGCCTGCATCTATGCCATGCTGCTGCTGTGACATAGGAAGCATCAGCCCGGAGGTCGCAGTACAGAGGGTGTATTTTTAAGATGGCTGCCAAGTGCTGGCAGCTGGCTCTGGCTTCAGCTGGCTCTGGCTTCATGTATGGAGGCTAGACCTCCCCCTGGTGACCACAGGGGCACACAACAGGTTTGGACTGACCTGGAACTAAAGTTAGTCCCAAATCCTACCATGTGTAGACACCTGGCAATATCCACTTAATCCGCATTAGTTTAATGTACATTGAATTTAAGCCCACTTAAAATCACATGTAGACACACCCTGTGAATAGGATTTCCTCTGGTGATTTTGGATTGGCTGTTACTATCAGGATCTCATCACGAGCTTTTCAATTCCTATGGGAAGGAGGCAGCATTAGAAGAAAAGCCCAAGTGTTTTAACTGCCTAAGCTTTGGTGGCTGCACAACAAGCATTGTTTGTTAAGTTTATTTAGGCTTTCTCCTCCTAAGCACTGAGTACTTAGCACTCTTATCTAGCAAGACATTTAAAATATGGCTTAATGGTAAGTGTTTAAGTCAGTAGAACTATTTGTATGTTCCCTGGAGAACCAGGCTCCTTTATGTTACAGTAACATTGCCACACATCTTGGTTAACAGAAGACTTATATTTAGAGGGTTGGATTAATTTTTCATGCTTTTGAGAGAGATTACAATAGAAAGTCTCTAAAATAATCACTTTGTTGGTGCTTCTCAGATAGCAGATGCCATAGTTTCATAGTTTCTAGGGTCGGAAGGGACCTGTGTAGATCATCTAGTCCGACCCCCTGCCATGGCAAACACTATAATACACACAGCAGTCCATGTCTTCAGCTGATGTTACAGTAGAGTTGGAGTGTTGATATAGCCATGATGGTCACAGTCTAAAAGGTTTTCTTGGATGAGGCCCAAGCTATACTTACAGGCTACAAATAATCATCAGTTATTGATGACTGCAACTTTTTCACCTAAGCTGATTTGTCAATTACCAAATATCCAACAATTTAACAGTAGATCAACAGACATATGATGGGGAGTGAAAAGTCACGTAAACTGTTTTCAGTAAGATCCGGATTCTCATTTGCACTAACGACACTTCGCATTGCTCTGCAGTATGAACAGACCTTAACATTGGTGATAATTTACTTTCCAGAGAGCATTGAGTCCTTTACACAAATGAGATTTGTATCTTAATTTTGAATTACCAGCACTTTTAGTTCTTAATGCAGTTGGCCCACTTCTCATCTCTGGTTTTATAGCTCAACATTATAACCTAATACTAAGTCCTACTGTCCTTATTTACATGAGTGTTGCTATGGATTTCAATGAAGCAACTGTAAATAAGGTGATCTGGATTTCACTCATACAAGGGCCTCATTTCTTATGCCCAGAAGTTACTTACAATATAGTCCTGGCATGCCAAAGAGCAAAGATTCACATAATATCTAGAAACTTGCAACTAATTCATTCTGAGCAACAGATGAAATCAAATTCAGTTATGTAACATAATTCTACTTCCATGATAGATGCCATAGCTAGATTATTTTTTCAAGTGGGTGAAAAAAAAGTATTGAGTTATTTCCATCCAAAGAGTTACATTTCACATTTAAATGCAGTGTCTCTGATCCATTAACACTGACAGTGAAAGTGGATTGGTAGGTACAAACCAAAGAATATAGAATACATATAAGAAAAAGTAGTCATACAGCTCCCAATGACATCATGCATACTCCACACGTTTAACATTAAGGGGGTGGTTGTTATAGAAACCAAATCCCATAGATTCATTAACGTTTAACAGGCAGAACTCACTTTCATTCATTAAAAAGGAGAATTCTTTGATTTCATATTCTGTGAAAAGATATTTCAGAATGAAATGCCAACCTTATTTTTACAACAACTGCAAAAACTTCCCATATGCCAAGTGAAAAACATGACTCTGAAATATTAATCCTTAATTTTTAGAAAGCAAAATATAATATACCAACTCAGCAATGCAATGTTTTGCTGTATATGGCTACACTAACTTGCCTTCAATCCTGTTCTGTAGGAAAGGTGGTCAAGTTAATTTAAAAAATAAAAACACGCCATTTATTATAACAACACTTATATGAGAGTTTCAGTCCTGAAATCCTTACTCATGGGATGCAAAAGGAAACAGTGATTTCAGTGGAAATATTTATAAGAATAAGGAACACTCTTGTGGGTGGGGAGGTTGCAGGTTCAGGCCAGAATATCAAATTTTCTTTTAGTTGCCATTGCCTCTGTTCCTATGAGTATTTATATATGTAAACATAAAGATGCAGGATGCACTGCACAAGTGAATAGATGTCATAAAGACAGTGGTAACAGATATCAGAGATTTGTGAAAGATAAAGGGGTAAAATTTTCATAAGTTCCCTTTTCAGAAGTGATTTAAAGTCATTTTTTACACACGTGTTTAGGGGTCTAAAGATGCAGATGGAATTTTCCAAAGTAACTAACAGGCAATAAACAGCAACTTTGGGCACTAAATAGCTTTGAAAATGTAGCCATTAAGCATTCACTGAAAGTTGATAGTGCGCAAGCTCCTATACCATGTTGGATTTTTTTTTCCCCTAAGTATTGTGAGGAATACTAAATAGTGTTATTCATGCTATCCATTGCCTTTTACAGATGCAACAGGAATTTGCTTCAGGAAGTAATATCACACTTCCCAGCTTTTTAATGATAAAAATACACTAGGATGGGTTATTTGTTCAAGCTAAAAAACATTACATTTATGTGTGTGGGCACCATACCATACATACACCACAGAAAGAGTTACGAATTACTTTTCTATTTTTAACTCAGTTCTGATTAGCTGAAACTGCATCACATGATCTAAAATAGTTTTTCACTAGTCAATTCACAAAAGAAGGTAACTGAACATGCTCAGATGCACCCTGATTACATAATATCAGATGGCTGGTGCATCACATTAAAGAAAAATTAATCCACTTGTATTTTTAGGGAAAGTATCATAGAGTCTATTCCTGAAGAAGAAAAACTTGTGTGCAATGTTTTCCCTAATACCCAGTCATCACCATCAACAAAAAGAGATGCTGAGCACCTGTTGACTTCAGATGCTCAACACTTGCCAGAATCAGAAATGTTACTGTTTGACTGCTCAGCTAGGTAATGCTTCACAACACTTAGCCTTTGAAATCAGCCATGACTGCTAAATTGTCTGCCTCTAATTTAAAGAAAACCAAGTACCTTGGAGATGGCTAATGGTTCCCCATGCTCCAGTCCGCCTTTCAGAATGAATGCCCACGGAGTTCCTCCTTGAAGCAGCACCTCCAGATAAATGTATTCCCCTTTATGGGTTATGCTGGTTTCTGAAGAGGATATGCTGGTGTCAATTTGTCTAATATCCTCATCTTTATCATCACATATTTGTGCAAATGCAAAATCTAATGAGGCGGTCACAGGAAAACGAAGTTGCAAGTTGAACTCCCTCCAAGTCTTCTATGAATCATTCTTAATGACATGAAAACAAGAGGTGTTAGGAATACTGAGTTGGCAAGCCTTTCCTCTAAACTGGAGTCCCAGTGACGGGGTTGAAAATCTTCAACATAGCAACATGCTGCTGCTTCTTCAAAACTTTGGATTCCTCACCGGTGCTTTAATGTGGTGCATTTTCCACAGAAAAATATTCCTTGTTATGAGACCACTGCTAAAAAATGCCTGCCCTGAATATTTCCAATGTGGGGTTTTAAATAAATGGATCGAAAGAAAAAAAAAGTATAGGTTTAAAATCCGTGGCCAGCAAATTGCCAAATCCAACCAAATGCTTCATTTGTGATTGATTATCAGTCTTTTCTTCCTTTCTCTGGGTGATTTACCATTACAATGGCCTTTTTGCCTCAGTCCATTGCACTAAAAGAATGAAA